AAACATGGGTAGCTTAATGTCTGTACAATACATTTACAAGCTTTATGTGTAAATAGTATTGGTTCTCAATAGTTTTCCCGTAGAAATATGATCATCTTCACAGTGAAGAACTTTATTCAGGAGAGAGGGGGGGAGGGAGGGAGCTAGGGAGGGAGGAAAAGTAAAATGACTGAAATATTAAACTGTTGGATATTATATGAAATTACTATTGCATATTGCAAGTTGTCAGAATAAGGATTGGGAAAAAATAATTTTAATGAACAAGCAAGTTTAAAAAGCCAATATGGTGTGATGACTAAGGTGTTGGACTAGGAACAGGGAGATATAAGTTCATCACAAGCCAGGGAAACTCACTCACTGACTTTGGGTCCATCATTTTTTGAGCCCAACCTACTCCACAGGATTTCTGGGGAAAGGGAAATTGAGATAGCAGTGGCATTCCCACTATCTCATGCTGTTGAAGGAAACTTGAACTTAAACATAATTAACAAATATTCAAAAGAAGCTTGTAATGTACCATTTTAATTTGAAACAAAAGTTAATTTAAGAAATTACATTATATCATAACAATATGAAATGAAATAATTGCCATGACTTCATTGTTTCAATTGGAAGATATTTATAGGCTTAATTTTAAAGGAGATGGTACATATTGAAGAAATCTTTTACAATTGGGGACTGTAAGGTTAGAGTCATCTAGGACTTCAAATAGGAAGTAGCAGCTTTCTTCTTTTGTTTTAAAACCTGGTTCTGATATTAGCAATAGCAATATCACTTAGACTTATATACCACTTCATAGTGCTTTACAGCCCTCTCTAAGCACTTTACAGAGTCAGCATATTGCCCCCAATATTTCTAGCTTTGGCTTCAGTTCCCTTTTGAGTTTGGCTATCAGTAAGCCAGAACCCAGATCTTGGGACCCTGGTGGTCACCACCTATTTTCTGAAAGCCACAGGAATTTTCATCCTTTCTTATAATGCAACTGTGGCCCTAATACAGATTGGTACACCTTTCAAAAGGAATCAGTGGAGTTGGCATAGAGTTACAATACATTTGGCATTTCATAGTCAAGCTGGTTTTTAAACTTTGAATGCTCATTCAGCCAGGAATTTAAGAAGATCTAAAATATCCATAATTACTTATTTATTATTAAAGAAGGTAGCACAGCCTTGTTCCCAACCACTTCCTTCAACTTTCTTCCTTCTCTTCTTTCCAGGTCTGTATGCCATCTTGCTGTCATGGCACAATCTCTTCATTAAAACATATATCTTTCCAGAGTGGTGGTGGTGTTTTTATACAAGATAATACAAGATTATACAAGATAATCCTAACTTGGCACCAAGCAATGAATTCTTCTCAGAATTCATCTGACTCTCAGAATACATCTGACTCTCAGATCTGACCCCAAAATTTGAAGCTTACAAGATTGTACATTCTTCCTTCTTCCCTCCCTCCCTCCCTCCCTCCCTCCTTCCCCCCTCCCTTCTCCTGTTATGAACTCCTGTTTGCTACATGCTCAGCCCTGTTACAGATAAACTATTTACTGAGAAATTGGGCATACTGTACAAAAACATTTGTGGTTAGGCATCCCACTCCTTTGAATTTCTTTATTTTTTCAGACCAATCTTTTAAAACAGTAAAACAGTGCCCTCTGCAAGCTGTTATGATAAACAGCAGCAAAAAAAGACATGAGGTAGATAATTATTTTTTACTGCGGTAGAATCTGTTACTTATTCTAAATGTTTTCTAAACACTTAATTTGGACATTTTATTTTCTAAATACATCGATATCATTCCTGTGGCTTCTTTGTCATGATATGCACACGATCAGTGAATTGGTGTCCATAATTCAGAAGATGGAAGCAGAGATCACCCTTCCCACCTCACATGCATACATAGTACAGAATGGAGGCAATCTTCATATTCATGACAGTAGGGTATTTTATTTACAATATTTTACAGGGAATTTGATTAACTGCATTCTTCAATATGATCTTGTCAATTTTTTTCTACATTAACTTCATATATGGGAGTATAAAAATAAGAGTAGGAATTTGATATATACCTATATCTGTAACACAGTTGCAAGTCATTATTTAAATTTTTGATTTTTTAAAAATTTTTGTACTTTTATCCTTTTCATCCCTTTTTTCAGTTCTTTTTCTTCTTGCTTTATCTTTTATTCCTGTATTTGTTTTTAAATCCAATAAAGTTACATAGAAAACAATTTACATGAGATGGTGAAATGTTAATGTTAACGATCTTACAAGATTTTGGCTACTTCTTAAAACATAATGATTTAATTTTGAGGTTTGCTGTTGACATTTTAAAATGTAGAGAATCTCTCATAAACTGTGACAGAAATAGAATTAAGGTTGGGCCATATAATAGATTATGAGAACAAGCTCATCACTTCCATTTCCCAGGTTTTGTAGCTTTTTCCACTAGTGCCTCTGCAAAACGTCATTTCATTGCCACCACAAATTAAATGCAGTCTCAGGATATGGCAGCTCTGGATAGGCCAATCTTCACAAATTCTCTGTTGCACTGAGCTGTGTCACTGTATATTGCTCAAAGAATAAGGGAGGCTGGAAAAGGCATTACACTGTTACAGGCTTAATATTTACCACTGTTGGCTTTTTTTCTATTGCTCAGTAGTTTTGCAAAGCGTGAAATCTGCTGGATCTCCTCTGTTTGGAACTCCCAGAAAAGGTATGTTCTTGTTACAGGGAAGTTGCTATTAAAATGAATGTATTAGACAATTACATATGTGACAGTGACTTTGTGCTCATCTTACCAAGAATTAAACTTTGCTCTGAAGCAAGCCGTAGCTTAGGCCCAAGAAATGTGAGAGAGCTTTAAAGATAAGATACAATAAAGCTTTCTTGCACAAAATGTTACAACTCCACTTCCAGAGCTGCTGCTCTGTTTTATTATTAATGGGTTGGTGTGATCATATTCAGTAGTCTATTCCTTAGAGGAGAAACTATAATGAAACTCTTGCAAAAGGAAGCCCTAAACCTCATTTGTGGTGTGTAATTTTAAACCTTTGTAGTTCTGGATTGATAGGCAACACCCTGGCTATCCAAATGAAGTTATTTCTTACAGTAACTTGAGAATGCACTATTTGTTTCCTAAATACATTGAAAGTAATGTGTTGACCAAAGCAACATTGATTACCATAATGTGGCAGATTCTGTTTTGCTGATATTTTTACAATTTAGTATTGTTATAGAAACAAGTCAGGAATTGGCACCAATAAAAAACAGAAACGGTTAAATGAATAGACAAGTTGAAATTTGATAAGGAAAGGTAAAATATGAAGTTTGACATGTTCAATTGATGATCTGTCAATGGCCGTAACTCATGTTTCTGAATTTCATACAAGATGTTACATTGTGCTTCTAATGTAGTCAGATTTGCAAATCCTTTTAGCATCTAGATGTGTACAAGCCAGATCCAGGTGATCTTCAATTTAGATATGAGCAACATTGGAACAAAGATTAATGTTTCTTCAAGTGGCACTAATTCTTCTAAAATTAATACATCATTGTTAAATTTGGATTAAGTAGTTGCCATCTTAAATGTAGTTACTTGAAAATGAATTTTATTGACAAAAAAATAAAATGTTTGCTTCATATCAAGGTACTGGATGTTCTCTGTAAGTGATTTGGGTTGAGGAGATAGGGAGTATTAACTTTCACTTTGCAGGGATATGCAAAAATGCTCAGGTTAAAGTTCTTGAGTTTTTAGGGAGGAACTTAAAAACAACAGATATTTAATTACTGAGTTTAGGTAACTGCTGAATCTTAGCATTCTAAAAGATTTTCATATTTTTTCTTATTGTTTAATTAAAAATCTGTTTCCAGAAGAAATATAGAGCCCTATAAGCATTTTGACCTGTGCAGATTCTAAAAAGTCTTTCAGACTACAGAATTGATTTGGATCTGTTTGATGAGATTAAAATGAGCTGGATATTTATACCTTGTCTAGCAAGAGACAACAGAATAAAGCAGAGGTGGGAGCACCTTTAGTACTAGTACAATCCTGTTGAGTATATTTCTGAGCTAGTTCATTCATACCTTTCACTAATAATGGCTACATATAGGAATAGTATGCCAAGATATACTATGTTTTTGTGATGGTATAGAATGATATGAAAAGTTGGATGTCATCCATGTCATAGTGATAACTAGACCTCAAACCTTAAATGACTTATTCCCACAATGTCATTAGATAGAACCTTAAAGTCAGCAATCAACCAAAATATTGAATAGAAGTCCTAGATACCACTTTCAAAACATGTTATTCTTATTTGGTGGGCCATCAGCAATCAGTCATGTGCTTTTAGGTTATTGTTGAATTCTTACAAAAACTTCATTCTTTTTGAAGAAGTGATGGATTCCAAATTAAAGTTGTAGTATGCTGTTGAATAAACATCTTAATTAAATGCAGTGCCGGTAATTGCAAATCTAGCAAAGTTATCCTCTTCACTGCTGCAGTTGCTTTGGATAAAAGTAAAAAGAAATGACTGTAATATGAGGGAATGGAACATGCAAAGAACAAGCAAAGCAGAATAGTGAACTCCAGTACAATTTTTTTTAAAGAAGTATGCACAAGATGAAGAGAATAAAGACTGTTTTCTCACTCTTGAAATTTGTCTATCCTCAAGAGACCTGAACAATAATTTGAGGTTTTGTGCCTAGCTGGCTTTTCTTATGGGAATTCCATTAGTTCTTGATGCACACTCCCTACATATACACATGATTGATTCATCATGGAAAGTCTTATCAGCCAGCATTACTTGTTTATTTTTTGGATCAATTTATTTTTAATGTATTAAAGCCTAACTTGCAAATTGTATCTCTGTGTGGCTAACACAAGTTGAAAATCTTATCAGCACTAATACAGAAAACAAATCACAACAAAAGGATAATGTAACTGAGGTGAGCCCACATTCATTCAGTTTCTACCTAGTACAGATGGTTTATCCACCACTCTGCCCCATTACCCAAGAGAAAAATCAGATCTTCAAGGAAAGCCAGCAGGTGGAGCCATCTAAATTTCACGGGTTATGCTGTTCCAGAGGGCAAGTGCTACAACAGAGAAGAGCCTCCTGAGTCTCACGAGATGACTTTGTTTTATAGAGAGAATCCAGACCATGCTTAACTTTTCGAATTTTGTGGGTTAGTCAGAAACAATTGGAAAAAGGCAGTTCCACAAATAGCCTGGCCCTGGGATATGGAGGATTGTATAGATGGAATTCAGCAGCCTGAATTGTACTCAGCTTATTTTATTCTTCCGATTCAGGAGACTTCACTGCCTGTTATTCTCCAGGTAAACCCTTGTAGCCGCTAAAGTGATCCTACCAAGAGTCTTTCTCAATCTTATTTCACTAGGGATAAAGATATATAGCTGAGATGATACTTAATCCCATGTTGATAGACGATGTCACCCAGCAGTTAATGTAGATGTTAAATAGGAATGGAGAAAATATGGAGCCTTGTAAGACCCTGCAAACCAGAATCTAGGGCTAGATCTCTCCTGTCCTGCCACCATTGATTGCAATTGCCCCTGCAGGAAGAAGAACTATCACAATGTGTGCCAACCCACTCCCAAATCCTGGAATCAGTCCAGAGGAAACCATGATTGAGGATGCTGAAAGCCGCTGGGAGATTAAGAAAGATCAGACTGGATGCTCCTGCCCATTTTGATCTGGCCAGATATTCATAAAATGGTCAGTGTTGTCTATTTTAACTCAATTTGAAACCTGAATGAAAAGGGTCAACATAATCTGTTTGCATTTTGGACAGCACTACTGCCTTGCTAGTGCTAGCGTGATCATTTTTTTTTTCTAAATATGACATCACATAAATTACATATGATTCCCTCGTCTTAGATTGAGTATTAGTACTTAAGCAATATGAAAACCAACTGAAAAGGTCTACATAATCAGTTTCTCCCTAGGCTCCCTAAAGCTTTAACTAAATTCTGAACAGCCTTCCCTAAAAAAAGTAACTGACATTAAAAAAACATTGTCTAATACTATTGGATATAGGGATGATTTCTTGAAGAAGGGATAGATCGCTATCTCTTTAAGAACTGGCAGAATGACCACTTTACTCAAGGATGAATTTGGCACCTCATAGACCCAACTTCACATCATCTCCCAGGAGGCCTTAAGGAAGGTCATGGATCTGATATCCAGGTATAAATGTATCGATTTGCAGCCCAAGGGCCTTAGCCAACTTTCTCAGGATTAACAGGATATAGAGTCATAATTGTATGGCATTCAGTCTGGGGTCTTTGTTTTCAATGTGATATTACAATAAATAATCATTCCTATCTCCTTCAAATATTATACCACTTAGAGTGGCCAGTAATCTGCCTTAAGAAAAGAGGGCACAGCAAAAAGATGAGGTTTTTTTTTTTTAAAAAAAACAAATGTAGCCCCACCTTTTAAAAAATACCCAAACAAATCATTTAACTCTAAGCTTAATTACTTTTGCAGTCAAAAAGGTCCAACTCTGAATTATTGCAACCTACATCTTGTAATCCTACTATCAACCACTAAAAGGAAGAAATAAGGCTTAGAAATTTGTCTCACAGCTCAGTCATTTGATTTGCCTCATTCACTTGTTACTGTCTCACCAATGCAGACTCCTTAAGGGCTTGGTGAGCCAGTCTTGCACTCACAGGCACTCCTGCCATCATCATGCCTTGACCCATGAGAAGTCAAGGTAGTAGGATGACTCAATTTGAGCTACAAAAATTTGGTTGACCACTACATGGCAATGAACAGGAAGTGCGACATCCTCATCAGTAAAATGAATGATTTCATTAAACTTATACTATATATGCTATCTCCTTTTAATCATTAATATTCTATATGTCATAGATGTTCTCAAATTTTGCATAGTGATTATTCACTATGAGGCAACTGTCCCATGCAGACTTGCACAGGCAAAAGGAATTTAAATTTGCTTTGGACAGCACTACTACCTTCCCTGTGCTAGCCTGATCAATCTTTTTTGGTTTGTTTTTAAGATGCTTCTGGTCCCTTAGGATTCTGATCCACAGTTGAGAACTATGTATTAAATGCACAGGCATCCAAAGATCCTATTTTAAAAAACTATTTTTTGAAGAGGTACATTTAGACAGGAAAGGCAAAAGCTTAGAATATCCCCCACCAAAAAATAATAATAAAATCAGCTACTTACATATGATGTAACAATAGTTGAGCTTCTCCCCAAGATCTCCAAAGGATAGAACTTTATGGGCTAAGAATGTGGTATTGAGCAATCTGAAGCAGGAAATCACTTCATTGTTCCTCCATCGCTTACTGGCTCTAGATTTCTTTGCCTCACCTGAATGCCACTTTGAAGGAAGAACTCCTTCAAAGACAGTTTTGAAGGATAAATCAAAGAGTTTTATTAGGCTGCTGCAGTCTGTCTTTGCTGCTTCAGGTGAAGGAAATGCTGGTTCCATCTACAGCTGGACTGTCATGGACTCTTATTTCTGCACTGCCAGTAGAGAGGTATTGCATTACTCCTGAAGGTAAAGATAAGCAGAGCAGAGCAGGCCACAGAGTTCTGGGAGGATATGAAGCCTGAGATGGATTTCTCATTTTGTCCAGTAATCCTGATCCTAATGTTTTTGTGAAGTTTAACATCTGTAAATCAAAATACCTCATACTGAAATGTGAAAAAGTCTACAATTAAAGCAGGTCTGGGAGGATTGATTCACATTTCCAGAGTTGTTATTGCAGTCTGCAATATAACTTGGCAGCTTGTATGTGTGGAACTTTTTTCCAAAGACTTATCATTTCACATTCCTTCACTGGAGGCAGGTTGTTGTCTTGCTACTCCATGAATAAAGTTACAATGAGGATACTCTTAGAGAACATAGTCTGGACTCTATTTGGAAGCAAGCATTATGTTCTGATTGAGAAGCTGGAGGAAAAGTAGTGTATATATGGAAGAACAGTAACACAAACTGTTTTCATGTACCTTTTACTCAAACTCGCCCAACTTACTCAGCCCTGTAAGCCTCCAACAGTTTCTTCACCTTACTAACTTAATGCTCAACAGGCAAAAGAATCCCTCAATGGCAACCAAAGGGGTAAAAAAGAAGGGATGGAGCAAAGATATCTAGCACCTTCTAATACCAGGAGCATTGCAGCAAATTAGGATAGGATAGGATAGGATAGGATAGGATAGGATAGGATAGGATAGGATAGGATAGGATAGGATAGGATAGGATAGGTAACAGTAGCAGAGTTGGAATAGGATAGGATAGGATAGGATAGGATAGGATTGAATTGAATTGAATTGAATTGAATTGAATTCTTTATTGGCCAAGTGTGATTGGACACACAAGAAATTTGTCTTTGGTGCATATGTTCTCAGTGTACATAAAAGAAAATATATATATTCATCAAGAATCATAAGATACAACACTTAGTGATAGTCATAGGTTACTAATAAGCAATAAATTCATACTAGGAAACAAATAAAACAATATAAATTGTAAAGATACAAGCCACATGGTTATAGTCATAAGTGGGAGGAGATTGGTAATAGGAAGGATGAGAAGAATAATAGTAATACAGTCTTAGTAAATAATTTGACAGTTGTGGGAATTAGTTGTTTAATAGAGTGATGGCATTTTGGAAAAAAAATGTCCTTGTGTCTAGTTGTTCTGGTGTGCAGTGCTCTATAGCATTGTTCTGAGGATAGAAATTGAAACAATTTATGTCCAGAATGTGAGGGGTTTGTAGATATTTTCACAGCTCTCTTTTTGACTCATGCAATATACGGGTCCTCAATGAAAGGCAGGTTGGTAGCAACTGTTTTTTCTGCAGTTCTAATTATCCGTTGAAGTCTGTGTCTGTCTTGTTTGGTTGCAGAGCCAAACCAGATAGTTATAGAGGTGCAGATGGCAGACTCAATAATTCCTCTGTAGAACTGTATCAGCAGCTCCTTGGGCAGTTTGAGCTTTCTGAGTTGGCCCAGAAAGAACATTCTTTGTTGTGCTTTTTTGATGACGTTTTTGATGTTAGGTGTCCATTTTAAGTCTTGACATATGATAGAACCTAGAAACTTGAAGGTCTCTACTGTTGATACTACGTTGTCCAGTATTGTAAGAGGTGGTAGTATAGGAGGGTTTCTCCTAAAATCTACCACCTTTTCTATGTTTTTAGTGTGTTTAGTTCAAGATTATTCTGATTGGAGCGCAAGGCTAGTTGTTCAACCTCCCGTCTGTATGCAGATTCGTCATTGTCTTGAATGAGATCAATTACTGTTTTTACTGCAAACTTCAATACTTTAACAGAAGGATCTTTTGAGATGCAGTCGTTGGTGTATAGAGAGAAGAGAAGTAGAGAGAGCACACAGCCCTGGGTGGCTCCTGTGCTAATTGTACAGGTATCTGATGTGATTCTGCCTAGCTTCACTTGCTGCTTCCTGTCTGTTAGGAAGCTTATGATCCATTTACAAGTGTGGTCAGGTATAGCTAGCTGATTTAGTTTAGTTAGAAGAATATCTGGAATGATGGTATTGAATGCTGAGCTGAAGTCTACAAAGAGGACCCTTGCATAGGTCTTTGGAGATTCAAGATGCTGTAGGATGTAATGCAGAGTCATATTAACCACATCATCTGTCGATCTATTTGCAAATTGCAAGGGGTCTAACAGTGGATCCGTGATGGTTTGCAGGTGGGCCAGCACTAGCCTTTCAAAGGTTTTTGTAACTAACTAGCCAGATGTTAGAGCAACCGGTCTAAAGTAATTCAGTTCCTTGATGGAGGGTTTCTTCAGCACTGGGATGATAGTAGAGCGTTTGAAGCAAGAAGGAACACAGCACATCTCTAGTGTTTTATTAAAGATGTGGGTGAAGACGGGGGCCAGTTGGTCAGCACAAGCTTTTAAGCAAGAAGAAGTTATCTTGTCTGGGCCTGGTGCTTTTCCGGCTTTTGTCTATGAAATAGACCTTACATCTCATTTTCTGTAATCACCAGAGGTGGTGGGCCTAATGGGATGGGGTTAGTTGTAGGAGGCTTTGCTGTTGTAGGTGTGTCTGAGATGGGGATTGTGGAGTTGGGTGGCAGTAGTTTTCTCTCAAACCTACAGTAAAACACATTCAGGTCATCTACCAGTTGTTGATTTCCTTCAGCATGGGAAGGTTTGCTGTAATCGGTGATATTTTTAAGAGTTAATTAAACTAAAGGAATTGCCCAGAATTGATATTAGACCATAAACGTTATGAATGCAGGAAGAATTTGGGCAGATAATATGCTGTGGAGGTGTGGCCACATGAGGATGCCTTATCTCTCATCTCTGATTGTTGTGAATACAGAGTATAATTGCTTCCCTTCCTTTCGCCCAATCACATTGTCTTCCATTCCCTACTACCCAGTTGGATATTTGGATTTTATAAAAGTTCTCTTTGATATCAGGATTCAATTAGCACCCTTTGGTGAGTGAGTGAGGCCTTTGGCTTTTTGCTTTCTGTGCCAGGAAAATGTTCTTCTTTTGCAACGATCAGAGCAATCAAGCTGTGTTTACCTCCACCAAATGTGTTTGGGGAGTAAATGAAGACTTGAGGAAGGCTCTCATACTGTTTTTCAAAAGTACTGCATGCGAGAATGCTGGAAAGGGGAGTGCAAGAAAGAACTATTTTGACAGAATGGGATTAAAAGAAATGGTTTGTTCTGAGGTACCATGGGCTGTGCATTAAC